ATCTCTGGGGTTCGTTCTTCAATTATTATGGATAGAATGAGAAGAGAACAGAGAGGTGAAAGGGGTTAGGGAAATGAGAGTCCGGAACCAAAATGTGGTTTTTTTTGGACTCAAAGAACAAAAATATATGAAAAAATACATAGTGACAATAATATATATAGCGTCTTTTTAAAAGATGCTNCATAACAATAATTCAATTGGGTATAGCGTCTTAAGCTAAGACGCTATACCTCAAATAATTCACCTCCCGGACTGGTTTTTGCCTTATATAAGGACGTTAAGGATTTTGAAAAAACTCATTCAGAAATACTCTCAAGTGTTAATGAAATTTTTCTTTGTTAAGTTGTTTTGCATTTTGACATAATGTCTGAAGAGCGAAGAATTAGAGTTTCATTATATTGGGAGAGTGAGGTTGTGGTGGCGAATAACTTAGTAAGCTATAGTTTATCTCCACAATCTTATGTTAAGTTGCCACTTACAATGGAGTACGATACATTGGTATCGTTGTTATGTAAAAAAAAAATGAGTGTGAGCAAATGTTCGGTGAATCTTAAAATAACCAAAAAATATCCGTATTATGTGACTCCGCAAGGGGTTGCTTGTTATGCTGAGTTTAACATCGAAGACGATGAAACTCTGAGAGATTTTTTGAGGACTCCGGATGAATACCAAAAATTTATTGTGATAAAAATATTGAAAATATAGGTCAAGGCTGAAGACGTTCGCAATAATGTGGTTGCGCAAAGTAGGGAAATTTCTCAATCATCGGGTAGTTATTTTGAAACAGTTTTAGCCGAATAGTTTCAGTTAAAAGAGTTTGGCCGGATCTAAACTTATTTCCACGGGCGAATGAGGAGCGAGGAAATAATTTCTCACCTAGTATACATAATCCACAAGCAGAGTGGTAAACTTCAATTTTCATACTGTGTTACGATGTATATTTTTGTATATTATATTTGTATTAACACTCATATATTCCACAGGGGGTACCGACCAGATATTAATTTTACAAGTTATGAACCAACGGTCAGTTAGAATATGCCGAGTTTTGGTGTGTTGGATCATGGTGGTACATCCGAGAGTCATCATCAACAAGATAATGTGCATCGTGGGATATCAACACATTATGATTTGTAAGTGAATATATAAAGTTATATGTATTGTTTGGACCAATTTGAGTAACTCATTATTTCTTTGGTTGTGTAGTGAAAACGAGCAACTTGATGGTCCTGTCCTTACTCAATTGCCCGAAGACGACGTATTTAATCGGGATCTGGTAGATGAGCAGAGTCAGGAAGAGAATAGTGATTATGACAACAATGCCGATGAGTCTGGAGATGGCACACCCTTCCCTGACGAGGGTGATGTTGAGGAGGAAGAGAATGCCAAACCTGATTTGACGAGGGAGTATGCTTCACCTCTCGTTAGACCACGAGTATACAAGTCCTACATGCTGTTTCATTCAAGGCATATTCCCTACCTTGATCATTTGCCAAATATGCCGGATGTGGATGCCCTCACAAGGAATATTGACGAAATTTGGTCAGCAATGTGGGATGAATCTAGACCAACGGTGCTGTCAAAGGACATGCTTTTTCCTGATAAGGCGCGCCTAATCAGGGCGGTAAAAATATACAACGTAAAAGAGTGCCGTGAGATGATGGTATGGGAGTCATATCCGGATATATACAAGAATGTTTGCCGTAGATAGTTTACGGGTTGTAATTGGATGCTGCGTGCGAGGAAGAAGAAAACAAATATGTGGGTTGTGGGTAAATACATTGGCACCCACAATTGTGAAATGGACACATTCAGCGGGAATTACTTTAACTTGGATGCTGACTTGATTTCTCTTGTCTTGATTCCATACATTGAAGCCTCCATAAGGTACAAGATCAAAGAGTGTATTACATCTGTCCACCAGGAATATGGGTATACCATTACCAAAAGAAAGGCATTTTTCGGGTGCAAACGTGCGTTTGAAATTGTTTACGGTGACTGGGATAAGTCATTTGCATCTCTACCCAGGTACATGACCGCATTGCAACACTTTAACCCTGGGACTGTTGTTGAATGGAAGCTTGAGCAGAGTCCGGGAATACCAGAATATATATTCAGATACGTGTTTTGGGCCTTCAAACCAGCAATTGATGGTTTTGTGCATTGTCGGCCGGTAATATCCATAGACGACACTCATATCTATAGAAAGTATGATATTAAGCTGTTGATCGCCGTTGCAGTAGATACTAATAGACAAAGGGAGAAACGGTATAGGTGGTGCATCCTGAGCTATGGGTGGTAGAGGTGGCTGAAACTACAGGAATCGCTCTCAGGCCTAAACCTAATATACAATTTGGACGTAAAATTTAAGGTATATTTTAATGATGTATGTTTTAATGAAGAGAGTATTTGAATATGTTTTTACCTTAAGCAGCGACATAAATCCTGCAACGTCTCGCTGGGTGCCCATGCATGCCCATCATATCTGCATGTACAAGTAGCCAAGAACAGCAGCACCCAGCTGTACTGATGTAAATCATCTAGCCGGTCAAGATGATGAAGAAATCTCAAGCTGACTAGGTTTCCCGAAGTGTTCAGGAACAATACGCCTCCAAACATAAGCAGCAGCAGCAACCTCGTGTACCGGTTAATATGAAGATCCGGTGTATCATGAGTAATGTCATCATGCATGGCCTCCAAATGCAGCCGGATGGGCGTCAACGCAAGACGACTAGCCCCAACCAATACACCCTCCTCCTTTGGCCGGAAACCGGTGAGTCACTGCAACGTCTCTAGGTACTGATATCCCGTATAATCTCTCATGGCATGCAGCAAAGCAACAGAAAGTCCATCAACCGGCAGCCCATACGGAACCTCCACGTCCTGTAGCGTGATAGTAGCCTCACCAATGGGCAAATGGAATGTGTGCGTATCTGGTCGCCACCGCTCTATCAAAGCCGCGATCAACGACCAATCCAGCTGCAGCCGGTCGATCTCAATGATCCTATAGAAACCCGTATCCTGCAGGCATCTGACTATATGGGGATGGAGCTGTCGGGTCTTAAGAAAGTCCCACATATCGTCTACTCTCCTAGAACGTAAAGTCTGGGCCAATAACTGCCCATCCCATATGTAGGAAGACTTATGCTCAGCCTGTAGAAATAGTAGCTCTAGGGAGGCAGGTCCGGGATGCAAAGGCGGAAACTCCATGACGACTACTGTAAATTGAACAAAATTAATTACATTATTTTTCTTTTCCATTGCTTAAATATATTGCAATACCTTGAATATTAAATTTTATTCGATATTTTTACTATATTGTTAATTAAGTTGATACATTTTCAATATTATAATTTTATATTTTATATGTTACTTTAATATGTTTGTTTTATTATTTTATATGTTAGTTTTATTATATTATATGTTTGTTAGTTATTCACCTATTTTTTTCTATACATGATTTAATTATTAAATATTCACATTTTGTTTTCGAACACAATATTTGAGGCCCAGTAGTACCAATGTATCCTGAATTCTTATGTTCATGATGCGAAAAGTTTTTCAATTTTTCACTCAACAGGTCTTTAATTTTATATGTTAGTTTATTATAGTATATGATAGTTTTATTATTTAATATGTTAGTTTTATTATTTTATATGTTAGTTTTATTATTTTATATGTTTGTTTGTTTGTTGCTGACTTAGTTTTGACTATAATAAAATTAAATAATTAATTTTCATAATTATACAAGATTTAATTATTAAATATTCACATATGGATTTCGGGCTCGATATTTGAGGCCCAGTAGTACCAAGGTATTCGGGAAATATTGTTGTTTTCTCATGTTATTTTCTTACGATCGTTGATTAGAATTGGACAGAGTTTGTATTTGAACTATCAGCTATTTTGACATATTTTTGGATATAATAGATACTTAAATGATTAATTTCAATAACTACAAGGATACTACGCTAAAGGACACTATATTTTACTACGCTAAAAGGGCACTACATTACAAATACAAGCACTACATTAGGCCACAAGATACCACTACAGGGAACTAAAGTAACAATTTATCTAATTTATTAATCTTTTAGCAAATAAATAATCTAAACCAGATAAAAATAACAAATCAATTTAATCACAAAACAATCACGAAAATATATATACCACAGTAAAAAGTAACTAATTAACTTTTTTTTAACAACTAATAACAATTTTTCTATTTTACGAATTTTTTTAGCACACTAAAACTATAGTTCGGAGAAAAAATAACAAATTAGTTAAATCGCAAAACAATTACAAAATAACATAGATCACATAAAAAACAACTAATATGCATTTTTTATACAAGTTTTAACAAAAACTAAGTCGGAATACCTCGATTTAAGATTTTTAGAAAGTCGAAGATTTTATGATTTGGAGCCGAAACAAGCAACAATGTCCGAGATAATGCCTTAGCTAGCACGTGGGACCGAAAATCTTTACTTTTTGTAGGACGGGTGGGTTCCACACAAGTTTTTTTTGATTAAAAATGGAGGGG